AACCAAGCCATTGAGAACCCTGCTGATGGATCGGGCCGGATTGTGTCAAAATGGGGAGCTTGGACCCCAATTGTTTGATGATTTCCTTTTGGCTTACCTTTACACCAAGCCTGTTCAAACATCAATGAGGGGGTGTGGAGGTCATAAGTCTAAGAGTTGACCTACACCCAGAAAGGACCACACCTGGGAAACCCCGACCAATGCCCATCCCCCAAGTGTTCATCGGGGCTGAAGCATAGGAGTTAAAGGGTGAGGCTCTCATTGGTCACAATCTCCACCCATCCCTACCCCAAAAACATCCACCACCACCACCACCCACCCACCACCCACCACCACCCACCAGGCACCATCTCAACCGGCCTCCTCCTCATCCTGGGCCTGCATGGCGGGATCCCGCAGCTGCAGCCCGATCCAACGGACGCCCTGGTCCCGGCAGTCGTCCCAGTCGATGACGCCCAGCACGTTCCGGCAGACCAGCGACTCGTCGTGGCCGTGCCTGGGGATGGGCACCCAAGCAATGCCCAGGCGCTGGTTGCAAAGCGAGTTTCCCCAACTTAGCCCACCACCATTCGCATGGATCTCTTCACATGGAGCCCGAAATGTCCCGACTCGGCCCGCCTGGGCGCAAAGTGGGCCAGGGCCGGGAAGATGGGCCACCTGGCTGAAGCCCCCCTTGCAAATTCGCATGAACTCCAAAAAATTTGCACCAACCCCCCAACACAAAAGGAGAGTCCTCTGAAAATTGCGGGGCTTGGGGTTCCATGTCAAACAGTATGGGAGCAGCGCACGATTGCAGCCGCTAGACTGGGCCAGGGGCCCAGCCCATTGTCTCAGCACTGGGCAACTCAGAGCAAATTCAACTCAAGCCAGAACGCAGTCATACTCTGGATGGAGAAAATCCCGCACGTACTGGATGAAACCTTATGAACACTTGGGTCAACCCCCAGCTGGTGCAGGATGTCGTCCTACACTCTCTCAACCCCCGCGCCTTGACAGGGCCATGGCATAGGTGGGGAAGGTGGCCAGTATGTTCTGCACCTGAGAAGTGGCTCAGCGAAGTCGCCGTGAGATGTACCCTGCAGTACCATGATACACTTCACTCCAAGGCTAAGCTGGAATTGGTACAACCAGCCACCCGTAAACACTGGTTTAAGAGTGGAATATTAAAGATTGTTTTGAAGAAGCCAGCACTATGGCTAGGTTGGTCTCAAAACTTGGTTTTTCGTTTCAAACAACCAACAAGATGTGTTTACCGTCCCCTTCTCTTCGATACAGCCTGTTCTTGTGTCTCACACCCCAAGACATGCATGCTACCAGTTTAAAAAGCTGCAAAAAGGACCATGTCCCTTTTCAACCACAAAGGCTTCTTGCCCTTGATTTCCTCACCTGCCAAAAACTCTAAGCACGTCCCCTTCGTAAGTCCCGAGTCTTGTGAAGCAGCAGCGTTGAAATAGCATGGTTCCAAGCAAATGGAACTCCGGCAAGGTGCCGTTAAGTGTGAAATCACTCCAGCCCAAACCAGACAAGGCTGGCGAAGCCCTGGCAGCCCTCACAACTGCACCCGTGGACTGAGCCCCTTGGTACAAACCTAGCTTTCAGGACTAACACCAAACATGTTCAACCCGAACTTTCTTTCTGCGAGGCAATCCAGTTTTATCCCCCCCTTCCGAACAAACCAAAGAACCCCCACCGTTTGAATCCAACAATTCAACCCCAAGCCCCTTCCTTGTTCCTAGGTCCTCCAGTAGAGAGGTTAGAATAATGAATACAGGTGCCTCTTTTCTCTGCAGTCTACTTTTAGTAGGGCAACCCGCCCAACCAACAAGGCAACGGTAAAAGTTGGCACCTGGCTGGGGGGGGGGCCTAGGCGTGTCCCTCGGGGAAAACGCGTCTCGGATCGAAGCGGATCCCTCGGATCGCCACGGGGTCGCCACGCGCCTGGCGCCGCATGGGCTCCAGGAGCGGCAGCAGCTGCTGCTCCCAGAGCCCGTAGAACCGGAGGATGCCCAGGTACAAGAAGCCCAGCGGGCACTCCTCCGGGAAAAAAAAAAAACGGGAGGCGGCGGAGGCGTTTTGGTGGTGGGAGCAGCTGATAAAGCCCGAAGAGTGGGGAGGAGCTGGGGTTTAAGTATTGAGGGGGGCGGTTTTTGTTGGGGGGGAAGATCTGTGAAGCTTGAGCTGGTGGAAACGTGACCTGACTTGCTTTGAAGATCTGTGGGTTGAAAATGTGGAGACCGAGTTTGGTGGAGGGGGGAAATATGGGGGGCGGGCGGGCATTTGGACATATCCTGATGTGCCCCTCTCTCCAGACATGCCGCAGCCCATGGGGAGCCACTCCTCCAGCAACTAATGAACGAGGGGAGTTAGAAAGGCAGAATCAAATGTCTAGATTTGCCACTCGCTACTCGCCCAGGACGGCTGGCCTTTGGAGAGTTGTGATTGCACTCTTAGCAGCTGATGATGTTTAGCGTCTGTGAATAACAGAACACACCAAAGCAGAGCGGCTCCTTTGTCCATACACAGTACCGAACTCAAAACAAGGCCACTGTCAGAAAGTCTGATCTCTCCAACTGGTTGAACAGTGCCTAACACCGCCCCTGCGGTTGCCTTCCATGAATTTGGGAAGGGCAACACCAGCTTCGCCGTTTCGCGCGGTAACAATTCAGCTACATAATTGCTCTGATTTGCACGGCCTATGTACACACAGCCCAATTCTTCAGGACCTCCGGGTGCGTCAACAAGCCCATGCCTTCCCTTGACCCTTGCCCAATGCCCATCATTTACATCTTGCTGGGGGCAGGTCGGCACCTGTTCCGAAACCGACACCTCAAAACCTGGTTTGAGGGTTCTCCGGTTCTCCCTCTGGGTACATTCAAATCGGGACCAGGGGGCCTGACATTATGCCAAGATCGACAATTCTTCACCAGCCAAAAAAACAAACAAGAACACAATCCCCCAAAAGCCACATTCACACCCACCTTACCCCACACATAAACAAGCACACACAAAATGAGAAACACTGCATCAACCGCCCCCAAAAAAGCAGACCGAAGGGTTGGAAAGGAACCCCTTTCTGGGTCTCTCCTCAGCCGCCTGCTCTGGAATGGACCTGAAGCGCTGGAGGCTGGTGTTCTCCACCACCAGGTGCTCTAGCTCCTCCAGGGCAACCGGATATCCAACAGCATCCCAGGCATTCGACCCACGGACATTTCAAAAATTTGTTGAGTTCCCCCAACACGGAAATTGTTTTTGCAGTCCCTCTGGTGGGCATTCGGTGAAAAAGACCTGTGCCAGACTTGACAAAGGCCCAAAAAAGGAGATTCCTCCCAAAGTGATGCTTGCTTTGTTCCAGGTCAACCTCCAGGAAATGATTTTGAAAAAGCCTATGCGGGCTTCCCTTAGATCACTCCCAGATCCGGAAAGGTGCCAACCTTGCGAGACGAATGTTCAAAACGCGTTGATTCACCATCTGGAGGGCAACAAAGTTTGAGTTGGGGCTTGGAGACTGGCCGAGTGCAAAAGCGGCTTGGTGTCTGGAGTCCTGCTGCCAAAGGCGAAAGTCTCACTAGACTTGGTGTCTGGCAGTGTCCCCAACATGAGACTCAGTGAGAAGGCAAAGCCTGAAGGTAAAGTCGGCACTAAGGACTGGCAAGTCGTCAGATACCTGGTGCCATGAAACCTTCCGTTTGCTTTGTTGCTTGTGTGCTCGTTGTTTTGCTATAAGATCGCAAAAACAGCTGCTCATCTGCGCGTCCCCCCGACCCAAGAAGGAAAAAACTTCCAGGGTTCAGGGCAAACCCTCCCTTTTCGCCTGCGGCAGGGAGAAGTCTGCCTCGAAGATGTTGGAGCCGTTGAAGCCGTCGCTGATGCGCCGGTACACCTCTCCACGGGAAACTGACTGTCCGAACAGTTCCGGCGAGTGCTCGAGAGGCAAAAAGGTATGGCGGGGGTGGGCAACCCACCCCCCACCCCCTTCAAAAACCCCTAAAATGATACACACCGGTCCCAACTCCCCGCCAAACCCAGTCTTCCTTCCCCAAGCTTCTCCCGGCTTCCTTCCCCTCCTGGTTCCAGTCCGCCGCAGCCCCCGGGATGGTGGCCACCAGGTCACAGTCATAGTCCAAAAACGGCGGCAGCGGCGCTTTCTCGAAGCGCTCCGCCGACGCCACGGAGAACGCGCCCCAGGCACAGGCGTACACCCATGGCATGGCGCGCGCGCTCGGCACCCGCCCCCAGGGCTCGTGAAATAGCTCGTTTGGCGCAATCCGGTCTCGGAAAGCCGTTCAAGCACTTTGGCGGGGACGCGAAAAACCCCGGAAGGCCACTCGAAAAAATCAGGCCGCCTTATGTCCCAAACAGCTTCCGGAATGTGATTGCTAGCGTGCCAGGCGCCTCCCCCCCCTTGAGCCTGAGGCATGCAGCCGGAGAAGCCAGCTCCACAACCAAAACAACAGTCAAGGAAACTGACAAAACATGTCAAGGCAAATACCTGCGCGCGCCTGTGCGCCCAGGTAGAACGCATGGTGATCATGACTCAGTTTCCCCTTGGGGAACCCATTCGGAACCCTCTAGGAAGACTTGGGACGAGAAAAGCCACCGAGCCACCGAGCCGGCTCCTCAAGCCTGTGAGGCTCTTGTAGCCTAATAGGCCTACTCCCTGGTTGGTGATGGGATTGTGTGGAGGACCCACTGCTGTCTCAGAAAGGGAGAAAAAGCGAGGCCCCGTGAGGGTTGCGAAGGAATAATTGGGCACCAAGCGCCACTTTCTGCGACTGCAGCGATTTGTCGAATAGTACCCCACTAAACCATTCTAACCATTAGAGCCCTCTTCATGGGAACGGGAACCCTGAAAATGGCGGGATCTTGATCCCAAATTGCGCCAACCACCAATGTTATCCTAAGAAATCTCATGGTCCATCCAAGGTTGTTTGCCCAAGGGCAGGATTCAGACTTACACCCAGCCAATTCACGGCCAACCGGGAAAAGGCGCCCGACCCCACCTGGTAGTCCGAACCGCCGCTCCCCAGCCGCGGCAGGGTCCCATCGGCCTACCATCCGCTCCCCTCCCACAAAATGGCCCGGGCGATGTGGAACAAAACCAGGAGGTGAGTCGCAACCAAAACGGGTATCAACAAGGTGTACCAAAACCAATGTAAAGAACCACACCTTCCCGGGTTTTGGTTCTGATAGGGAACCTTGTGGGAACCTTAGCGCCGAACATTCGCTTCGCTTAGAAATCATCCAGGGGTGCTCATGCTTGGAAACGAACGCAGGTTGTGCAAGGTTCCCTCGTTTCATCCATACCCATGTTTGTTTACCCCTGTAGCTATGGCTTGGCTTGGTTTCTTGCTGTTGAATTTGCTTGGCAAGCTTGGTACACAACCTTACCAGGCCGAGAAAATCCGGAGCCGACGTGACCCACCGCCCTAGCAAGCATGGAATCTGATCGGAGAGGTTTGGAGGACAATGCTGTTGGGGAAGGCTCCTTCGATTCAAAGAAGCGCACCCCTCCCAAGTTGCCATGGGCATCTGACAGAGAATACTTTCTGACAGAGGGTACTTTAAGAGGAAACTGATCTTCCAGATACCCTCCCATAGGTGCTTTGCGGGAAGGGTAATCTGGCAAATGGGAGGAAAGACTTTCTGCCGAGCTCATGTCTTCCAGCATCCTTCTGGAGGAAAAGAAAGTAATGCTCTGGGAAAGGGGAGTGTTGAGCATCAAATCATGTGGAAGGGCACCCTGACGTTTTTTGGAGTTGATACCCCCCCCGGTCTGGCAGATTTAAAGGGAAACCATGAGAAATACCTCGCCATTCATCAATTCCCTTGATTGAAATAAGAGTTCAAATGCAAAAGTTCGGCCGACAGGCTGCAAGGGACCCTGAATCTTGTTGTTTTCCTCTCACGGGCACCCCATGTGGGAATGTGTCTAATCAGGGTTGGGTTTCGCTTAAAACAAGGCGGCTTCAGAGTACCTCCGAAAACGCACATCTTGTTTGGGAGGGTACTCTTTGAATTCATTCCTTTCTTGGAACCCGAAAGAAGCTCTCTGAGCCCCTCCTTTAAAGGGGCCCTTCACAACATGTCCTTGTAGAACATGTGGTAGCTCCAACTCGCTCCCAGGAGTCCAAAGGAATTTCCGCGGCTCGTTTGCTCCCTTCCAACCACCAGCTGTGGATGCCCCGTTTCGCCATGTTGCAAGGGACCCCCCCCCAAAAAAAAAACAAGAAGTCTTCAACAATTTGGCAAATCTTCGACCCATGTCTCGTTGGTTTACCCTCTTTCCTTCACGGACTCGGCGTTTGCACCGTGGCACATGGGATGTGTGGGCCTGGCCGAAGGCCCAGAGCGGCCGGCCGCGCTCGGAGCTCTCCTGGGAGGCCTGGTGGGGTTGGGGTTGGCTCGGCTTTCTGGGGTCCTCTCAAGAGACGCCAGGAGAATCCCCTACAACGGTTCACGCTTGTGGGGTCCGTGACGAGGTGAAGTCAACAAGGAAGCCACGCATTTGCGGGTCCGTTTGCCAGAGATGTGGTGCAAGCCCGCTCTAGACAAGTCTTCTTCACACGTTGCACGCTGGCGAACCAAAGCATGCGTCCGGGCAAAGTGTATAAGGTGCGAGCACAATCCGCGACGAAAGTCGAAATGGCAAGTCCAAAAAAACGGCAAAGCATAGCATGTGGCAAAGCAGCCCAGCCCGACAGGGCAGGATTACAATATTGTCACCCACTCCCCCCCACCCAAAAAAAACACAAAAACAATGACAAAAAAATAAATAAAACAAAAACAAAGCCTCTTCCTGGTATCCCGCCAGGAAGAAAGGCTTTGGCAGATGGACTTTTGAGAGGACCCTTTGATTGGTGGACATAATTTTGAGGGATTTATCCAACCACTGTTCACTTTGGGGTTCCCCATGGGATTTTTTTGGCAACTTGCCTTTAATGTACCCATCCTGTACTTGGTCATGTGCGGCACATTGCTGGAACCCCAGACAAGGCCCCCCTCGACGTTCATCCCCCCAACCGTACCCCCCCACCCCCCCACCCCCCCCCCACACAACCCCACCCCCCCCCCCCAACGCCCCCACCCCCCCTACCCCCCCACCCCGCCCCCGTCTTCACAGCCGTCAAAGGTCTTAGGGCCCCGGGCGGACAGCGGCAGGGGGGCTGGCGCCGCTGTCGACACCGAGGCCCTGGGGCGGCCGTTGGCCCTGGCGATCGGCCGCGCTGCCCCTTTGGCCGAGGAACATGGCCTTGACAAAACAGAATGTTCATCATTCTCGGGGACACTGACCTGCTGGCAACAACCACAAACATACCCTCAAGGGCTTCGCAGCAAGGGCTATGTTGAGATGTTGTTCAAGCAGGGGGTCGCCACTTCCCTTTTGGTTTCAGTGGATTGGCGTGGAAGGTGACAAGCCCGGAAAAACAAGACGCTTGCAAATGCGGAGCCCCTGGAAATGGGCAAGGGCGAAGGAGCATGAAACTCTTGAAGATCTAGACTCGGGTGACAGGCATGCGCTCGTTTAGGTCTCACCAATGGAAAGGCAAGCTTCCATTGCGAAACAACTGTTACTTGCAGCCTGGCGTAGCTGGACATCCCTCCTTCAGCACCTGGCAATCCTGGCAGTTTCAACACGCTGAGCCAGTTCAGTTGTATGTGGGTGGCGTACGGCTAGCTGCATACAAGGGCTTGCCAAAGGCAGCAATCCTTGCTTCAGCCTGCGGCTCCCTTCTAAACGTTAGAATAACACATTTATCCGAATTTTAGGACAGCCCTGTCTGGAAAGTGTGAACCTGGCTTAGCTGGTGAGCAGTTGTATTTATACACCCCATGCTAGAACACGTGGACGGCTTCGATGCTACTGGAAAAGTGCACGTGTCAAAACCTGGCGGCCTGCCAGCGGGAAACCCTCCCACACCTTGGACCCAACTCATAACTCCGTCAACATCTCAGCCACGGTTTACCAAATCTACACAGCCCAAACCAACCTAGAGGGAACCTCGGTTTAAATTCAACAAAGGAAATGGGTGCAATTCCCAATTTGCTCCAAACCCTAGCTGGAAGTGGGAAGAGAGAGGGCTTTGTGGGTTCTACATTGCTTCCGTTTTCTCATGTAGACCCTCGCAAGACTTGTTTTCGGGGGGGGCTCTTCGAACCCCTGCGCGGCGCTTTCGTTTTTTGGGAGCGCGCCTCGGGGTGGACATGAAGCCGAAGCGGCCGGCATCTTGGCCTATCGAACTTCGTAGCTCCCCCCGGGTTCTTCGGGTGGCAAAGGGAGGCTCCCACGAAAGGGAGCTTAGCCCCGGAAGAAAAGCGCAACCCCTGTTTATTTAATGGGGGCTGTGGGTGAAATGTGGGGATTCATCACTTTTGTAAGTTAACACACACACACACACACCCTTGATAAACAGGGGCTGATGAATATGGGGTCAACATTACTCTCCAAAGGAAACTGGAAGCCGAAAGGTTTCCGAAAGGAGAGACACAGACAGAGAGGAGAGAACTCCTAAAGTTTTGTGCCATTCACGTCACAACCCGCAGCTGCTCTGGCACCTGTTGTGTCTTCCGGGCGCGGTTTGTTTTCGCCGCTATCTCGAGCCTCCTGGGCCCTTTGTAATCAAACATAGTGGCTGGCCCACAGAAAGCACGCCCGAAGGCACACCGACGCCAAAGACAGCAGTTACCAGCAGTTGATGTCTACTAGTTTCTGCTCTACTGGCACACGCCATGTGTGAAGTTCCCCCCAGCTGCTTTGTTTCAACCCCCCGCCCATGCAACCCTCAAGCTCCGGATCGCACCCTGCAGGCCCAAAGCGCGGCAACCGCAGCCCAAAACCCGTCGACCCGTCGGCCGAGCGGCTGTAGTAGTTGGCCGCCATGAGCTTCTCCTCACGCCGGATCGAGATCACCGGTCACATGGGAGAAGAGGCAGCACACAAACGCGTGACATGAATCGCCAACTTCACGCCCACGTGCAGTTGTGCTTCTTTTGGTTTAACACCTTGTCTACTTCTCGTTGGTTTCTGCTCCGCCCCAAGAAGAAACCCTGCTCTGCGCATGCCAATGGAACCCAAAACGCCACCATTCCTAGAAACTCCTTTCCGACCCCCCCTGTTTGGGTCCTGAAAAGACATTTGCGGGTGAGCAACCCAAAGAGAAAGGGCTGCGGCTCAAAAAACCGGTACCAAAATGGAACCCTGCTAAGTGGAAACATGGACCAAGACCTGCTGTTTGCCCCTCCTGCTTAATTTTGAGCCACATCTGGCGACCCACCGAGGCCGGCGCCCCCATGGGCGAGGCCCGGCCGGAGGAGCCCCGCAGCGGCGCCGGGGAGTGCGCCGTGGCCACGACCTCACGAAGCCGAGCTAAGCGCGTGGCTCGCTCCCCGAGATTGGCACCAAAAGAAACCTCACTTCGAGCTGGACTTTCACTTTCGGAAGATCATTGCACCTCTCCACAACCCTTGAAACATGGGGTGACCTGACCATCAGGGGAATTCATGCTAGCCAGTTCCCTCCCCAAGAGGACCTTCCCTCAACATTCAGCTTCTCTGCCCCAGTGCCTAAAAATAGAGCACAAGACTCACTTCCTGAGTGAATTGGTTGGCCACCAAAAAACACTCTAAGAACTTAGCCCAGCTTTTTACAAACCAAAATGGTCCAACCCCAAAAAACGTATGAGGTTCAAAAACTCGGGGAGCTGGTTTTTGGTGCAACAGGTTGGCTTGTTGTCCTACATGTGTTATTCGTTTTTCCCTGCGCTATCCTCAGGCCTACATTCATTCACGTTTAGTGTTTGCTTTGTGTGCTTGTTCATTTGTCAAATCTGTGAATTTGTGTAGTGTCAAGTGTTGTGATTGGTTTGTGTATTTGTTGCTTTGTTTATCTATCGGTTTGTTTGTGTGTGTGTGTGGTCCTTTCGTCGTTCCTTTGCCTATGTGCTTATTTGTGTCTGTTGGTTTGTTCATCTGTGTCTTTGCTTCGTTGTCTTTGTCTCTTTGCGGCAATTTGGTCTTGCCTCTTTGGTTCTTTCTGTATCTGTTTGTCTTTGTTGGCTTGCTTGCTTGCTTGCTTGTTTGCTTGCTTGGTGCTATTTTTGGCGGGAACTCAAATCCGCCCCGTTCCACTGAGGCCCGCAAAGGAAGATATGGGTGCGAACATGAAATTCGACATTCCCTGTTCAAATGCGAAGCTATATCACCTGGGTACCTCTAATTGGTGCAAGTCCCTGACTGGGAGACACCCCCCAAACCTCCCACAGACAAGGTGCCATGTTGATCTACCAAATTTGGGCTGGTACATTGGGAACCCAGATGAAGTACGCACCCAAGTACATGAAGTACCAGCTACATTTGGAAAAAGACAACGAAGCAAAGAAACAAAGACACAAGTGAACAAATCAACCGAGACACAAAAAAGCACATAAGCAAATCGTTCAACGAAAGGAAGTCCAAGGAAGGTCTCCCAAACAAAAAATGGGCTGATTTGTTCGATCAGCCTGCGCCCCTGTTCGATCCCCCGAGGTCTCGACATAGCCGCCAGAGTACGGCGTCCTGGACATGGCAGAAAAGGATGGACCCTGGAGGGAGGTTCTGGGCCAAGTCGGGCAAAACCAGAGAGGAAGCCTCTGCACTTTTGGGTTGGGCCCCATTCTCAGATTCAGCCCCCGAAGTGAAAAAATTAAAGGATGCCCCTCAGATTCTGACGTATAGCAACAGCCAAGAATTGTCCGAGTGAGGCAACCGCAAAAGACTTCCCGCTGCAGATGGCCTGCAATTTATCAGAGGGTTCAAAAGCATCCTCTTTGAGCACTTAGACCAGTCCGGGAGTTGGCCAGGCGGCTGACAGCTTTTCGGGTGGCTTACACGCCTACAATGATCATACCCCACCTGCAGGCTCTCTGTAACAAACAAACAAACAAACAAACAAACAAACAAACAAACAAACAAACAAACAAACAAACAAGCAAGCAAGCAAGCAAGCAAGCAAGCAAGCAAGCAAGCAACCAAGCAAACAAACAAAATGATCTATGAGTAAATGAATAAATACGTCCACCAAATACACAAATCTGTTCAAATACATACAAATATTTCGGAGTAGATTAGTATGCATGTATGAAATATAATATTTGGATAAGTAAACTAGTATGTACCTATATATGAATATACATTTCTCCACATTTCTTCGCTGTCTGTACCTTCTACACCCCACAGCACATCCAAGAGCCCGAGAGCACATCCAACCCCCAACCCCGGCCTCTGGGAGCTGCGGTGCGGCTGGAAGACGCGGCTCCGGCGGTCCGCGTTCTCAGCGGGCCGTCTCGTCGCTTGGACGCGCCATGGACAGGTTGGGTCGCTTTTCGGCAATCGGTTAAACCATACCCAAAAAGACCGCTTCTTTTTTTGACATTTGGACATGTTGGGTCGTTTTATGGGTACTGTTTAACAAAGTTCTTGGCCAAAGTATTGGTACGACCTGGGGGGCCAACCCTTTCCAAGGCCTAAGTGGAAGCTTGCGGAGCGCCTAGAGGGCAATTGTCCGAATGTCACGTTGATGTGCCCAGTTGGCCTTTCAGTTCATCACCTGGCGGGGTTCTTCCCAAAACCCCGCGGACCTCGCCGAGTGACCTAAACCCGAACGCCACCGAACCGAGGCCCCACGCCATGTGCATGTCTCCTGTGAAGCTCTGGCCTAAGCGGTTTTGCGCGGTGGCATTTGGCTCAAAAACTGGGAAGACAACACTCATGCCGAGTTGTTTCGACTAGATTGCTCAGTCACACACAGGAAAATCTTGGAATCTGAGGGCCTCTGGAAAAGGGAGGGTTTGGAAGACCAAATGGCTGTGGCTCAAAATTGAAGAGCTAGGGTTACGCAGGTTTAGTCTTTGTTTCCATTTGCCAAGGTGCCATGTTTGGTACTTTTTGTGAGCCACCGCCAAATGGAAAACAACCAGATCGACCGGAAAACCGGCGTATCGCCGGAAAGCACTCTGCCACACTTGTGTCATGCAAAGTCTCTGGCTTCAACTGGCCCCTCAAACAGCGAAGCGATCAGCTCGGCAGTAAAAACCGGGTAAGCTTCCCAGGCACGGATCATACCGCGTCAAACCTTTTTTGTTCAGGGTATGCCATGCCTCACCGAAACCGACCCCAGGCACCCATAGCTCCGAGGTGCGAGGAGAACGGCCAGACGGGCTGCGTACGCGCCTGGGGGAAAAAAAACAAAAACTTCCATTGGAGTGTGTCAACAAGGCGTCGCTCACTACCCCCTCAGTCATTAAAAACCGTAAAAGGGGGGACAAAAGCTTCTAGCGGCAATGTGTGCATATCCTCCATCTTCGATCGATTGGATCGACCAATTGGCCCGCTGGTACTCCCTGGGTTCCGAGCCAGAACGCAACCTGGCCCCTTCCGCCATCTAAAGTCAAGTTCCCTCGCTGTTATGTCAGACATGGTCACCTGCTCGAAGCCCCGAATAGAGCTCATGACTCGAAGCAGTGCAACCAAGCAGCATCAGAGGCGTATGAGGTGCAGCAAGCTGCATTTTCGTCATGCCTCGGACATTACTTGGCCACAAAAGAAGCCACCTCTAACCTGGGTTGCTCGAGAAGCCCCAGGCCCAATCCACAATCCTTAGTGGGACACCACTTGAGAAAGCTCCTGGTTTTGTCTAAAACGGGGGGGGGGGGGGGCGGGGGAAATACCTGTTCATTCCCACCTTCCCTACGTATCGCGCCAAGTAATGTCCGCATGGCTTCCCCCCACATCGGTGCCGACGCCGGCCCCATTTCTCCCCCGCATCCAAGGCGCTCTGGACGGGCGCCGCTGACCAGGTGGGCAAGGCATGCGCCATGGGCCTGGAGGAGAGAGTCGCACCGAGCTTTTTCCGACGTTTTTGGGGGCGCCGCTTTGCCTTGGCGCCCCTTTGCGGCAACTCTTATGGGAAGGGGAATCCTTACTATTTATCCGAATCCGTTTTCCACAAGGGAACCCACTACCATCTGGCAAGGCGCTGGCGGCATCCTTGGGGAGCCTTAGGGGCCAGGGGGGTTTTGCCCTCCGCCCCCGCCCCGCCCCCGGGCATGAGTTTACGGCTGCAACAACATACTGCGGGGGATCCCGGGATCCTTTTCTTCATGGAAATGTCCCCGGAAAATGTCCCCTGCCGACTCGCCCATGCCGAGCCTGACCTCCGGACGTGGCCGACTATGTTGGTTCATTGATATGGGGCAACCTTGGTTTTAGTGGGGATTTCCACTTTCGGAACGGACCACCCCCATACTTCTAGGGGAATCGAATCATTGGACATGCATTTCGTCCATCCACATGGGGGGTCAGTGAAAACCCCCAAACCCATCTTCATCACCAGGGGTCTCTTCATCCGTTCTCAATCGCCAGCGAAGGCCGTCTCGCGCCTCACGGAGTTGGCGCTGGGCGCCGCCAGCGAGGCTGTCATGGAGGGCACGCCGCTGATGCCCGCGCTGGTGGACAGGGAGCCTCACGCGCACGCGGCTGCGACAAAGAAAACCCGGGCCCCCATCGGGTTGTTGTGGTAGACCCCTTCTTTGGGTGTGATTTAACAGGAAACCAAACAGGAAAGCCGGAAAAAACCGGCTTGTTTTTTTTTTTTGGGGGGGGGGGCCCTCTTCAAACTAAACTAATTAAACCCAAGACAAAGGAAACCCAATCGCAAAAATAAAGGCAAAACAAGGTAAGCTAAGTCTGGCAATCCATGGCATGGACCCATTGCTGGTTTCCTGGTCTTCTTGTCAAACCAAAGCACCAAAAGCGGGCCCTCCGAGAAATGGCACATCTGGCGTATGTGGCTGGGTCCAAATAAAGGGAAGCCAAACGTTGCCCACTTTGATTGGTGGCAACTCTCGTTTTTGAGACCCCTCCCTCACTTCAACACGGCCGCTGAGGTTCTGCACCTGTTCAATTCCAAAACCTCTCAGAAGGGACAAACCAGTGAAGAACCTGCCTATCAAGACATTGCGCTCGCAGTTCATCCCCGGAACACCTCACAAGGAACCAAAAAAATGTCACTCAACTTCCTGCTCCCGCGGCTAGCCCGAGCCTCCCATGAAGTCCCGGTCCATGGGGAGGGTTGGCTTGGCCGCCCGCCTCTCCACCTTCTCCTCCTCACACGCCGCAGAATCGGCGGGTCTCTTTGACTAAAAGCTGCCCCCGAATGTCGACCCCGGATTCATGAACCCCTGGTTGATTTGCACCGGGTCCTCTTTTAGTGGTTGGATTCAGACCACTTTTGGAGGGAACACCCCCCGAATAATGGGACGGGTTCTACTTAGATCCTGGGTCAACATCAGGGACCAAAAGTGGACCAAATCCGGCAAACCACAAGCTCAAAAGGTCAACTTTGAGCTGAGTTAAAGTAGGGGAGTAACGCATCTGCACATGATGCAAGCTGGCGACTATTCCAAGCGTCTGGGCCCCCAGAATTATTGCTTTCCTTTTGGAACACACACCCCAAAAAGGCCCCCTTGAAATTGCGACCCTTTTTCGAAACGGAAATGCTCCACAACTTGAGGTCATGTTGGCCCTCTTGAATCTTGACACGGCAGGATTTATGATTGTCTCACACTGTGGGAACCCCAAAGTGTGGTTTTCCGGGGCACCTATCGGATGGCCCACAGCTGAAGCGGGCTACCGGGATTAACTCACCGGCACTCGCGGTCTTGAATTGCACCAGAACCGAGGGCCATGGCCGGATCTGGAAAATCAACATTCACTCTGCGCATGGTTGCGAAATCATTGTCGCACCCACAACATGAAGCCATGATTGAAACCACGACGTGTGTTATGGTATTTACGTTGGGGAGTCGAATCAGAAACCCGGGTTTCTTTGGTGGTGCGAAATGGAGTTTGCAACCCTCCCCCCCCCCTCCCCCCAACCAACCCCCCAACCAACCCCCCTGCCTCCATGCTCTTCCGCACCGCCTCCGGCAGGAGCTCCTTGGGCACCAACATGGGCGGCACCGAGGGGTCCGCCAGCCACGCGTGCTTGCCTGCCAGAGATCCAACCCACACGGAAACCCTGGCGAGCGCTGCGTGAAATCGGCGGGGAATGAGAACTGTGAATGAACCGGTTTTGAAAACTCCCGAAGAAAGGACTCGAAACTGGCGGGGGATTCAGTGCTACGGACTTCGGATCGCAAAGTTCGGGCTGGGCTGTTGTTCCTGGCTTTCTTCTCCGGGCCGCAGGGCTGTATCCAGATCAGCCCCAGGGGAAAGCGTTGAAAATCCCCAAAGGGCCAAACCAAGGGACACAGCCCGGACTTTGACCTCGCGAAACAGTCACAAAATGGGCCCAGCTACCACGTCCCCAACCAATCATCAAACCAAATGTCCCTTCACGAGCGGGCCTAAATTGTATACCCAGGGGTAGTGAGCCCCGGGTCATGTCCAATTTAACGGGGATCCTTCACTTTTTCGAGGAAAACCCCTCCCCTGTTTCATCTCCCTCGTTGTTTCCCTCCGAGAAGGCCCAGCACACGACAAGTTCACCTCCCGCGGCCATCACATCCGTGCGCCGAAGGCGCAGCAATCGGCGATGGACATGCGCTTCGAGGGCTCGAGCTGCAGCAGCTTGAAGATGAAGTCGATGCCCGTGGGCCTCAGCTCCAATTTTTCAGGCCACGCAGCAGGGATCCGCTGAACATTGCAACTTGTAAATGGTGGCTTCCAACTTTAGGTTGGTGTTGAAAAAGCCACATGCTTCAAATGGTTGCAACATGTATCATTTTTTGGAGCCCTGCTCAGCTGCCCTCAAACAAGTGGGCGCGTGGGAGAGCGAATTGAATCGGTGGTTTGGCGGTTTTTGCGGAGGGGTTAAACCCCATGGACCCTCTGCAAAAGCCAGGGCTTCAAATCCCAAACCACCAAACTCCAAACCACCGACAAAAACTTGACTCCACGCAACCCACTTGGGTGAGAGAATTGGTTTCCTGGGCCTCGCGGACCTCAATTAGGGGATGGACACTTTTAAGGGTCCAACTCCTGAAAAGTCATAGCCCCCCCCCCTCCCCCGCGTGTTCCCCCTCGCTTGGGGAGAGAAGTTGAATTTGGAGGCCAGGCTCCCAGACTTCGGTCCCCCCGCTCCCCCCCCAAAAAAAAAAATGCGGTGTCTTATTCTGAAGGCCAGGCTCTCTCTGATTTGGCTGCGCATCCAAACCGAGACTCTTCAAATGGCTGATGCTGACATTTTCCTTTCGGTGTCATTGTTCAGCCCGTCCACACAGGAGCCCGGCTTTGACACATGCCCATTTCGGCCGGCGATTTTCTATGAATTTTGAATGCGGGACGGTTTCCCTTTGCCACCCCCCTTTGGGGGTGGGGGGTTCCTCTCAAAGCAGGAGCTTCCCCCGCGCTCAGAACTTCCGAACTTGCGGCCATGGCGCGAGAAGTTAGGTGACTTTGTCTTGAAGAGCTCGTCAAACTTGCCGTTCCTCACAGCGCGAACACGACCCAAGGTGGGAGACCCTCCCAAGCGTGGAGTGAGCTTTCGGTACAGTGGACGCCTTGTGTGGAACAAGGGTGCCAACAGGAACCCCACAAATTCCCGCAAATTTCCAGGGTTTTGCAGTTGAATTCCTTTGGTTCATAGGCCCACGTGGTTAGGAATGTTTAGGCGTTCTATAACCCCAATGGAAACCAGGTAGAAGACCCGAAAATGGCCAAGGGAGGTGTCGGGCGCTGCTCAAACTGATTTCTACGAGCAAAGCCGCTTGAAGAGATGCCAGTCGGCGTCCTGGCGCGCAACTCAGGCAACATCCACTCACCAAACTCACCAGATGGGCGTGTAGAAAACTGGGATCCCTGCAAGTTGTGGTTCTCCTCTTGCCGTCCCTTTGGGTTCCCACAACCTTGAAAAGGGTCCCCCTCAAAGAACACAAAGACCCCGCACCCAACCCTTCCGAACTCCCAGAGCTGCTCGACCTGCTTGCCGCGGATTCAGGGCTGCTCACAGGCGGTACAAAAGGGGAAGGGGCGGTCTTCGGCCCCTTTTCCCATCTATCCCGCAAAGAAAGGGGTGCCTGGATCGCCAGTTGCTGCTTTTTGTCCATGAACTTTACCCCAAAAAAAAAAGATGAGCAACAGCGACTGCAAGAAAAGCAGCCACTTGGCCATCAACCTCGCTCCAGGCGGTCCTTCTGCGAGGGGTCGGCGCTCATGAAGAGCGGCTGCGCGGTGAGGAGGTAGAAGGTGCTCCAGCCTCCCGACAGCCAGCCCAAGGCCATGGAATTGCATCAGCTTCTCTCAGATTGGTGGTGTGGGAGGGGGTGGTTTGGTGGTTTGGTTTGGGGGAGGGTGGTTTGCTGGTTTGGTGGTTTGGTTTGTGGATTGGTGGCTTGGTGGTTTGGTGGTTTGGTGGTTTGGTGGTTTCCCATTTACCCTCTGCAAAAGCCGGGGGTTCACATCCCCAAACCAACGGGCTCCAAACCACCAACTAAGGCTGAAGACAGGCACGAGAAGAACCAGATGCGGAAAATGGAAAGCGCCACACACCGGTCACCGGTGGGTGTCCAATGCCTTGTCTTGAGACCATGTTCACAAGCTCCGCTTCTCCTTCAAACCAAAGATGCAGCCAAAGTTCGATGCTGCATCGCAGGGATTCATGAGGCATCTCAACACATCCCCAAGTGGTGCGCCCAAGGGTGGCAAAAACTTCTGCCCTCCTTGGAGGCACTTCTGCCCTCCTTGGAGGCACTTCTGCCCTCCTTGGAGGCGCTTCTGCCCTGCTTTCAGGCCCACCCATTTCTTAGCATGGGTGGCTTCGCTTTTGGATACCTGGGAATCATGTAAAGCGGGGGGTCAGTTGCCCGAGGTGTATGCTTCCTTGTCCGCGACTGGATGGCAAGTTGATGAAGCCCCATGTCCCACGAAATTTGCAGCGCGAGGTTTTGGACCCGAACCGCCGGAAAGCGCCTAGGCACCAGGAGTCCACCTTCGTGGAGAGGTACGGCTTGTGCTCGTGCAGCTCCGGTGGTCTGAAGGACTTTCCTCGCCGGAAAGGCTTCGAAAGGGGGGTGAGGGGTGGAGGAGCAAAAGTCGGGGGGGAAAGACGGCTGTGGCAAACGCAAGGTTCGCCCCATGGGTCACACATACACACACCAGAAAGCAGCTCGCCTCTGATTGACTCCCATCTTGATTTGCCGCATGCCGCGCAGCTTGACCTCTAAACCACCGGGCCCCAAACCACCGAATAGCCTTGCCTTGGGGAAAAAAAACGGGCAATCAAATCAAGCAGGCATAGCCGGCATAGCGCATCGCGTCAGAAACTAGGCGCCCTTTTCGGCCAGTTCTTATGGTCTGAACCGTACCTCACACGAAACTAACCATCCATGTAGGCGCTCTTGACGCAAAAGACAAAGACATGCCCAAAGAGCCGCATCCTGGCCAACAAGAGCACAAGGGGACCAAACGCCAAGCGCGCCCACCAAGCATTTACCATTCTGAGAGTCGACCCAGTTTGCGCTCATCTTTACAAAGCGGCCAAACCTTTCAAAAATAAGCAGTGCTTTCTTGGGACGGCCACTAACATCCCCACGCCCTACGCATGCGAAGGCTGCCAAAGGCAAAGGCAACGATTCATGGCCCTTGCCAATTAACATGAACACAACAATGGAGTCCTCCCAGAAGTAGGTTCCTGCAAAACTTGCTGGTTTTCAGGTTCTTCAGCAGAAAAATGAGGGAATGACCCGTATAAACTATAAACCATCCCCTATGGTTTCCTTTAAGGGAATCTCCAGGTTCATTTCCACAAGCCCGGGTCATTCAGCAAAAAAGTGATCATTTGTTGAGTCCCAATCTGAAAGGAAGTACCGTGATTTACTTGCGTCACACCAGACCCAGGAACGGAATGCCCAGCTCTAGTCGGGGGATTCTTCACCGAATACTCTCCCCAGGTACGAAGCGCAAGTGTCAGATGGTGCTCAAAGGGAGGGAACTGCAAGAAGCTCGAAAGTTTGCTACGCTCTTTTTCCAACAACTGGCTTTGTCCTCAGAACCTCTGTTCGCGCATGTTTACACCCCCCCCCCCCTTTGCTTCAGCCCCTTTCCGGAAAGACCCCCCTCCCCCGTACTCAGAGTCCACTCATTCTGTAAAGTATTTACTCCCACCTACAACTTACTGCTGGTTTCCGCTTCGATTCCCCAACGTAAATACCGGAACAAAAAAAATGGTGTGACATCGGTCCATCCACGGTAATGTTGACCCCCTATCAATCAACCCCAGTTTATTCACACAGAGGTGTTGTCCCTGGGTTGCGTGGGGAATCGTCACTTTTGCAGGGGAACAACCCCACTTTTAATAAACAGGGGTTGATTAATTCCCCACTAAACCCCGGACAAATGAACTGGGGTTGATTCATAGGGGGTCTACATCAGGGTTCCACTTTTTGACTCACCCCTGGGTTTAAGTCTACCCTGGTAGTCGAAAAGTGGAACCCTGGTCAACATGATGGCCCAAGCAGTTGACTCATTCCCCACTAAGCCCCGGACAAATGCCCTGGGGAATCTCAACCCCCCCTTTTAATAGACAGAGGTTGGTGCATAGGGGGTCAACTTTATGGGCCGTAAGCCCGCGCCTACCACGCCCGCGCCTACCAAGCCGTGGAAGCCCACCGGGATCTCTTGGCCGCCCTCCGTCTGGAAGTGCACGGCCTTCGGATCGTTTTTCCGGACCCCCCCCCCCCCCCAAACCCCGAGAACCCGACAAGCCGACAAGAAAGACGTGTTCTTTGTTCGTTTTTGGGGGGTGGGGGCGGGGGGGCCTGGGGGGGGGGGGTGGGGTGTGGGGGTGGGGGTCGGGGGGGCAGAGGAGGCGGAAGCGGGGACCCAAATTCGCAGGTTTTGGTCCATGTCTCTATTTATCAGGGCTTCATGCTGGGTACTTATCTTTGGGTAACCCTTTTTTCCAACCTTGGAACCTTTTTTTTCAACCTTAAGCTCTTTTTCTGACCTTGGTTCCTCTTTTTTTCACCTTGGAAGCTTCTTTTTTAACCCCGGGCGCAAAAGAAAAGCCCAAAGAAAAAGAGGTGGAGGACTCATCATCACCATCATCATCATCATCATCCTCATATCTATTTAATATAACAGATAAATCTTGAAATCATTCGTTTTAATCATAATAAGTTCAACATCTATGTATATACAAATGTATATGTATATGTAAATCGATATTTGTGTGTATTCATGATTTCTAAGTTGATTTAAATATAATACTCTCAATTTCAAATCATTATCCAACTATTGTATAAGATTTTATGACACTATCATACAGTTATATATGTTTTTCACCATTAGCAATTAGAATTAGTATGGGTATGTATCTATACACATATTTTAACAAAACAATTCCATTCTAATCATGCAATTACAAAAAACAATATACATATATATATATATATATATAATTCTATAACTTAGTATTATTAGTATTATTATTCAATTATTATTCTTTATTCACACAATACTTCTTCGTCCACAAAAAATTTCCAAATAATATATATACATATATAGATATACAGTCTTCGGGCACAAATATACAACCCCTATTTATTTTGACAAAACAATATACAAACATTATTCATTCCCCAAACAGCGAAGCGTTGGGGTTCTAACTTGAGGTATAGAGAATAAGAAAGTGTGACGCCGATTCCGGGGTCAGGTGCCAGATGCTGTGACGCCGGCTCCGGTGTCGTGTCTCCCGCTTCTCTTTCTGTGTCTCCCTATCTCTGCGGTCAGATGCTGTGGCGCCGGCTCCGGGGTCGTGTCTCCCGCTTGTCTCCCTGTGTCTCCCAGTCTCTGCGGTCAGATGCCAGATGCTGTGACGCCGGCTCCGGGGTCGTGTCTCCCGCTCGTCTCCCTGTCTCCCATGCTGTGGCGCTTGCTGCGGGGTTGTGTCTCCCGCTTGTCTCCCTGTGTCTCTGCGGTCGGATGCCAGCTGGCTGCGGGGTCGTGTCTCCCGCTTGTCTCCCTGTGCCTGTGTCTCCCAGTCTCTGCGGTCAGATGCCAGACGCCGGCTCCAGGGTGGGGTGTCCCGCTTGTCTCCCTCTGTCTCCCAGTCTCTGCAGTCAGATGCCAGATGCTCTTGTTGTGTGTCCCGCTTGGCTCCCTGTGTCCCAGTCTCTGCGGTCAGATGCCTGTGACGCCGGCTCCGGGTTCGTGTCTCCCCCTTGTCTCCCTGTCTCCCAGTCTGTGCAGTCAGATGCCAGATGCTGTGACGCTGGCTGCGGGGTCGTGTCGTGTCTCCCGCTTGTCTCCCTGTGTCCTGCAAAGTCTCTCCGGTCAGATCCCAGACGCTGTGACGCTGGCTGCGGGGTCGTGTCTTGCACTTGTCTCCCTGTGTCTCCCAGTCTCCGCGGTCAGATGCCAGATGCTGTGACGCTGGCTCCAGGTCGTGTCTCCCGCTTGTCTCCCTCTTTCTCCCATTCCCGGTCGGATGCTAGATGCTGGGACGCCGGCTCAGGGGTCGTGTCTCCCGCTTGTCTCCCTGTGTCTCCCAGTTGGCTGTTTGTTTTTTGCTTACAGCCCTCAACAGGGTCCTGGGCAAAACCAACTGAAGTCTTCTTTGCGAGTTTTGGGGCTGACCTTGCTTGCAGCTGTCTGTTTTCCTGCTTACAGCCCTCAACAGGGAAAATAAAGGTCCCGGGCAAAACCAACTGAACCTGTTTTTTTCTTACCCAGTTTTGAGGCTGACCTGGCTTGCTTGGCATCCAGCAACCGGCGTTCGGCTCCCTTCGGCTCCCTTCGGCTCACGTGGCAGCAGCTCGCAAGCGCAATTGAGAAGCATCAAGCTAGAAACATAGATTCGACAAGTCAGCAGGAACCACTTGCAACAATGCTTCGCAACGGGGAAAGGGCATGTCGCAGATTTTGCTGTTAGCCTGTTTGCAAAGGATGTGCCGCTCTCTTGGCCAAGCGGGCGGTTGCTTGACCCAAGGTGGTGTGAGCTTTTGATCGTGCTGCACTGGTTGTGCTGGTGTTGGCACTGGAGCTGGCATTGGATCTGCTGCATCTGGAGCTGGCACTGGATCTGCCATTTCAGCTGGCGGCTCGTCTGACACTTCTGTCTTGACAGTTGGTGATGCTCTTGGCTGACTTTGCACTGGTCTTCACACTGATTGGTGATGTTGCGAGTGGTGGTGTGGGTGAGGCATCATCGATCTCTTCCTTTGGATTGATCAGGGATGCTGGGGCTGCACATGTCTTCTTCTTGTCGCCTGGCTTGGCCTGTGCCACATGGCTTGGAGCGTCAGTTGGCGGAGCGTCTGCTGGGGTTGTTGGCGACTTCACCGGTGGAACCACGCTGGATGAGCCAGTGGTGGCTGGTCCTGGCCAATCATCTACCATGGCACCCAGTTGGGTCTTCCATTGGCTTGCCATAGCCAGGTACAGTTCGAATTGTTGTCCGGCGTGCGCCATTGGATCTGGCCTGATCTTCTTGGCAGGTGGATCTGTTGGTTCCATGGCGCGCTTCATGGCTGGCGATTCCTGATGGATAATATATCATGTACAATATGGCACGCTAATATTGCATGTATACACTACAATCGGTGTGTACTTGTGTGTGGTTGTGTGGTGTATCACTAGTTGCATGAAATAAATGTGATTGGACAACACATTCAAGATATGGACACATGTGGAAACAATGGTATATTCACATTATGAACCTACTCCATTATATAAATAGTTCGAGGTGCAGAATCTGAACATACTGTAAAATACAATCACTTTTAGGTTCAGAATCTGAATCTATTCTATGGTAGATACTATGTTAGGTTCAGAATCTGAATCTAGACTGTGTTTAGACATGTGTTAGGTTCAGAATCTGAACCTAAACTACATGGTTACTTGAATTAGGTTCAGAATCTGAACCTAGACTTTGTTTAGACATGAATTAGGTTCAGATTCTGAATTTACTATGTTATGAAATATTGATGTTGATCACATGGTATTGAATTGTACTTACAGTAACCCACATTGAATTGTATGAACCTACCTGAATATCACACCAGAATTGAAATGTGTAACACATGACCAGCGTGATTTACTGCAAGTGAAATGTGTTGGTTCCATTGGTGACACCCATTGCAATTTGAGCCACTCCAACACTCATTATGCATCAAACAATTACTCGTATGATCCAACCCAACTGCAGCTGATCAACATGATTGATTACACGATGTAGCCATATGGCCTGATGTATGTCAGGATTGTGTGCATGACATGCTGGAACGTTGTAGCCACACAGGCTTGACAATTCACAGCGCGCTGCCCACGCCGAAAATGATTCATCACTCATGGTGTTTCCTGATGTAGCCTAAAGGCTTGGCAAGTTAGCTCATGATCATTCAAACAACAAATTGGGGGGAATATATTTGGGCCCGGGTAACATTATATTTGTTACAAGCTGCACAGAGCTACTTTTTGGACTCGGCTGTGTCTGTATTGCCAGAAACAAGCTCACTCACATTGGTGGGCAATGTGGCACCAGACAATGTGTGCTGCATCACGATAGCCTTGCAGATGGTTCGGGTGGCAATCAACTGGCATTGGTTCACCTCGATGATGTGGAGCCACAACGGCTTCCTCGGTAAGGCCAATGCTTTCTAGGATGCACACACACACGCACACACACACACCACACTTACATGTGTAAGGTGCAAATTACTTTTGGGATTGATAAGTACAATCATACAAGGATCCATGTTTCCCAGCCATTGGACTCGGTCTGGACATACCACAGTGTTGTGGTTTCCTTGCAATACCATGACTCAGTTCTGGCCCTTTGGCCTGGCATGAGACTGACCTATACAGTTGCTGTGTGTAGCTGCAATGGCTGCTGGTCAATCCAAATAAACACACAACCATGTCACATTTCATGCAAGCAAGCTGCATCGCATTTTTGTAATGTTTCCATAAACTGACTGTCGTACCTTTGTGTTTGCATGTGTGGCCACACATGCTGTGACAATGCCATGTGTAGCAAATAGGCCTGGTATGCGTAGCCAATAGGCCTGACATCAATGAATCAGGTAGCCAGCATGCTTATATTTATTGCTTTGTCTCACACCCAGCATATCATAATTGGTCAGCTTTCCTTTTGTATGTTCTTTTGGCCTCAAAAAATGTATGACAGCTGCCAGCTGAGTTGGCTCCATGAGCACTGTGAACTGGGCCTTTGGCCCTCACATGCTTTGTACTGGTTGAGGCATTTGCCTCCTGTGAGTCTTCACTCCTGAACATTGCCTGGCCTGGGTCAGGTGCCTGTGTGGATTGTTTGGCAGCATCATTTCTTTTACACATTATCTCTGTGAGCTCAGCGCACGACCTCATGGATGCATTCTTGGAAATCCTGGAGCCTGGAGCCTGCCACCAGTTTAATAATGGGCTGGCTGGTTGCCCTCATCTTGATGTAGGATTCTCCTTGGTGCTCTTGGACCAAGAACTCTGGAATTGCAATCCATTTGTAGTCAGCATATATTTCCACTGACTTTCGAATTTGGATCTCCATGATCAGAGATGGCTGCTGGAGTGTTGGTGCAAAGCCTGTCATGTATGGATGCATGTGTGGGCATGCCAAGGCAACCATTGTAGCCTGTGGGCTTGACTTGCAATGCACAGGTTCATATGCATGTGCTACATGGAACAAACAATGC